CATGGACATATACACACTCATTAAAGAGGCTGATTTTCAAAGAATCTGTGTTTTCTTATGAGACCATTTTTTGAGCACATATTTCTAACTCTGTACTGTGTAAACGGTTTTCAGGGTTGAAAACTTTCTGAAGTTTGGATTATTTCAGAATTATTGTTTTGACATGATTATGTGTTACGGCCCTCTGTGTTTCCTCGTAGGTACAGCAGTATGCTTTTATTGAATGTGCTCTTTTTTCAGTCAGGTATTAAGTGTGAGCCTGAAATGAAGAGGGTAGTGTTCTCTCATGCCTCGTTGTGTCTGGAATGCCCTTCTTCCCACCTGTGCATAAACCCGACTTCACCTATTCTTCAAGATATATTTTAAATGTCTGTCCCACCCCCACCCCAAACTCTCGTTGACCTCCTTGGTCACTTGGAAGTGCTTTGAACACAGACTCAGGGCTGGTCACGCTTGGTTCTGTTTGTGACTCTGATGCTTGGTGAGCCACACGGGACGGCTCATTTAACTTTTGTTCCTGGGTCTCAGCCTTCTCATTTGAAAAGCAAAATTGTTTTCCTTTTCCCTCTCACTCTGTCCATTTCTATTTCTCTCCAAAAGACCATTGGCTTTTTTTTTTTTTTTGCTTTTTGAAGAGTGAAGCAAAAGTCTATTTTATTAATTTATTTTTAAAGATGTCCTAAAGCATGTATCTTTATTTACTTATATTTGTTTACTTAACTTCTGATAGAAATGACATAAATTTGAAAATAATCTTAGTTTTTAAAGCCGTATAGTAGTCCCTTGGCAAACGTCTATTTTAAGTGCAGCTTTTACCTTTAATCAATTTAAAGTACAAAGGCAGTAAACATACAGGAATATCACTTGAAATGTTAATTATCTCACTTTCTCACAACCTTAGGTAGTTTTGACAGTTTTGAAAAGCACATTTTTAATTTTAAGGTTGTTCCTAAGTCTTTTGAAGATGTCAGATTTAAAAAAATTTTTTTTAATTTTTGAATTGAATTTTATTGTATTCAAATGAAAGTTGTTTCTGATAGGATTAATTTAACAAATGACTTGATTGATTGAAATATAGTTGAGGAACAATATTGTGTTAGAGGATGTCAGATTTTTGAAACAAACTTGGGGAGTTTAAGCACTCTGCTTGAGAACAGTCTGTCTCCTCTTGTCTCTGTTTCTTTGCCTACAAATTTATAAAATTTTACAGATCATTACAAAATATTTATGTTTCCATATGACATTTTGATGCATATTGTTTGAATAAATGAATTGGCGTTCAGAGAGCACAGGTTGAGGATGAGAAAACAAGGGGGCAGGATGGCATGAATAAGGATTAGTGGTAGACTTAGTTTGGGGTTGATTCACATACAGTATCCAGAAAAAGAAATGGGAATGTGGCCTTTGATTCTTTCATTGCTTCCAAAATAATCTCATTTGCTAGTGAGAAACTGGCTTTTTAAGGTGGGTTAAATTTTGTGAAAGAGGCTTAATAAGGTAAATCTAAGTTTGAAATCATCCAAGAAGAGTTTTTTTTTTTTTTTGGCCTCAAGTCTAGGGATTTCTTTTCCAAATAGCTGCATTTTTTGGAACTCAGATTATCATCAGCAAGTTGGACACTTTTCAGTGGCTTTGAAAGATACACTTCAAGGATCATGGTTTCCTTCTATTTGTAGTAGCATCTCAATGGTGGTATATGTGTTCCTAAGACTTGTGTTTTTCCATAGGGGGCACAACTCCTAATTTCTCTGCCACTTTTCCAGATTAAGATTTAAATTGAGATCTATTGCTAGGCTTTGCTAAAAGAATCTTTGATATGCATGTGAATTGCTGAAGTGAAAAAAAATTTAAGCTAGTTTCCTTGAAGATTTATCAGGCAGTTTTGTTGCAGTTTCTTGCTTCACTTCTCTTACTCATCACAGAAATAAAATTCCAGACTAGGCAGCGGCCCTTGGATCTGTGTGAGCTTGTCAAAAGCATTTTAAGAAGAGCAAAATATTTAGAGGAAGAATTTGGAAAATCAGCCTTAAGGGATTTAACACATTTTTCTTCTCCTAATTCAGTCCCGTGTTTGTCCCCCTAATGGAGAAAGGTCACTAATGGGTAAGGTTTATAAGGCCAAGAAAGGCTTTCAGAAACTAAATGTTTTTTCTAAAATCCAAATCTAACAAAAACACTTGTTTGGAAACCTGAAAGAATATATTTAGATTGTAAATTATATTCACTTACTAATACATATGTAAATACAGTTATATGTAAATTTGTGTTGTCTGCTTACACATTTTTATTTTGGAAAAATTAAAATAGTTGGCTCAATAATGGAGAGTTGAAAAATTTGAGACTTTTTTGAGATTTGGTATAAATTTCTAGGAGGGTAAGATGATTGATCATAATAGCATGACTTCAAATTCATATTTGCTAGCATATTTTTGCCTCCCTAAAACAGAGACCTGGGTCAAGGTTGTTAACTTAATTTTTGTGGTGTGGAGGGTCATTCTATACTAGTAAGTGTTCCAAATTTGTTACGTTTTAAAAAATATCATAATTGAAAAGCTGCAGGCTAATTCCTGTTCTTTTACTGAATTCCTGTCTAGTAGAAAATAGGAGGGATGTGTGTGCGTGTGTGAGAGAGAGAGAGACAGAGAGACAGAGAGAGAGAGAAAGGGAAATGTGAGCTAAAGATTTACTGAAATAAGAATCCCCCTTTTCCCCTTTAACTGTATCAGGAAAATGAATACAGAAGAGTGTTTATAAATTTTGGAATATTTTTTAAAAGTTTGGTTGCTAGACAATTTCCCTTTTACAAGCTAAAACTCTATTTCATATCAGTTACTTAGACTCATATTCAGATTTTGATTTGACCCAAAGATAAAGACTATTATAGAAGTATAGCCTTATTAATTTTTATGAACATCTCTGTGTGATGGGAACTTAATTTAAAATTTGATCTCATTCTACATGTGATAAAATGGAAGGTTTTTATTTATTATTTGATAAAATGACAGGTGCTCATTTCTTTGTCCCTCCTATCTCTGGAGAGGAACGCACATAGTATTAGAGACTTTAATATGTTTTTGAAGATAAGAAGGTTAAATGCTCAGAAAAGAGGTTAAGAAAAAAATGTGGTAATATTTATTCCTTAGAAATTTCCCCATTTTATGGTAAAAATTCTTAAATTATATGAATTTTATGGAATTAAGAGAATTTCATGTTTATGATCTTCATATATATTTTTGTTCATAGCTAAATAATTAGATTTTCTAAGTGCTCTGAACACTGATATTGAATATTAAATTCGCATTGATAGGGCTCGTACAGCACTCTGCACGTTTGATGTGTCTTCCTGACTTACATACTGTGTATAATCCAGCCCTGTCCCTCTTGGGTGTGATTCCAAGGCTGGGACATTCAGAGTGTGTCAGCAAGTCCTCTTGGTTAATAAATGGCTTATACGTGGCATTGATCAGATGGTCAAAAGCCTGAAATCAAGGCTGATGCTGACTGTGTTGTCCTTTCTGGAAGGAAGGCCACCTCTCAGCACAATTAACAACACGAAGTTTCTTAGAGAGCAGTTTCGGTTTTCATCCAATTGCCCCCTTTGTGTTGCAGAGTCAGTCTCCAGTTACCTTTATGGATCTGTAGAACTGCACTCCTTTTTGAAGTTGCTGCTATATTTATTCTAGGAGTGACCTTTTAATTACACACTCTCCTTCCAGAAGGGAGTAAGGACCAAAGATGCCACAAACTTGGTGGAGTAGTGGATGAACCTCTAATTATGCTATGAGAGATGAATGAGGAGGTCTGGGTTGAAAGCAGCCCTTTGAGATTGATGCACGGAAGTCGGAGCACACTTGAGCCATCTCTGTTATGGTTTGCAGTATCAGTGGGAAGCAGCCTGGCAGTATGGACGGTAATGGGACAAGCAGTGTGTATATGTACAGGCAGAACCAAAGCTTTCTGCACTCTTCCAAATACTCCTTACGTAGCTTTCAGAACTCAGAGATTGTTAATATGCTGCTTTGTAGGATTTAAGCCAACAATGATTCTTGCTAGTTTTAAAGAAAATTGGGGAGCAGTTGAAGGGGATATTAGAAGTAACAGAAAGGGTAATGTGGAAATTTATCTGCTTTGTTCTCATATGTACTATAATAATAATTGTAACTATAACAGAAACAAAAACAAACAGCTCTTTGCCAAGTGTTCCACTTACATTCACGAATCCTCGTAATGCCCTTGCAAGTATTATTTATTCCTGTTTTACATGGCTTCCTTATTCCTAATGAAGGCGCTCAGCACCTCTTCAAGACGTTCAGGATGCTTTAGTTTTTTTAAGGTCAATTTTTATTTGTGTGGCCTGGAAAATGAACTCATAATCCAAACCAAACTTGGTCATTTTTTGAAAAACCGCTCTGACTTTCTCTGCTTGTGAAATGTACAGATTGCTTTTATAGATTGTTAAAGCTTTGTCGTGTCAGTCCTACTACAGGAAAACGGGTTATGGAATTGACTATAAACCTCATGTTAATTTCTGTTCTGGAGAGTGTAGGACTTATATGAAAAGGAGAGAAATCATGGGTTTCTCATGAGTTTTTAAAGGATAACTTAGATTTTTGTCTTGAATGTGCTGTAACATTTTTATCAGGCTAAAATTTTACTTAAAATGGAACGGAAAGTACTGCATATATTACTTAAAAAGTAAGGTCCTGATTCTTTTCTAACAGATGTGGTTTGTTGGCTGGTGGCAGAACGCCAACACGAAGGGTGAGCAGGCCAGCTCCCTGGGGAGGTGCCTGAGCCTCCCTGAGCCACAGGCATTCCCTGGCAGCTCCGTACATGCTGCCCATCAGCCATCCCTTTCTTCATTAGCTGTGGATCACTGTGTTTCACGAACTTTATAGGACAGTTTAAACTCTCCAGGATGGAGATGATCTTATTTAGAACTTTGGCTAAAGGTGCAAACTCTCATTCTTTTCCCTTCTCTCTCCTTTTCCCTCCCACAGATGAACACAATGACGTGCAGAAGAAAACCTTTACCAAATGGATAAATGCTCGATTTTCTAAGGTAACAGAGCCTTTCAAAAACTTAGATGACTCAATGCCTCCTTCTGGTTGATAGAGTTCGCTTGGAAGTGCAGTGAATTTTCCCCATGAAATGGGACCCAACAGAAATCTGAGTGCACAGATAACATTTATTTTTCCTTTGTTCTCTCTATAATATATTTAAATGGAAATTCTGATCTAGATAGTTCATGGTATAAGCATGGTGTAAACAGTTCTTTATTTTTACCTAGGATTCTTTAGATGCCAAGCTCACATTCTACTGCTTTGGACTCTAAACCCTGGGTACATTTAGGAAATGAATATCTTATTGGGATAATTTTGTGTTCACTTAGCTAAAGAAGATGATGATTTCATTTTTGCCTGGTTAAAATCAAATTGGCATCATTCAGGTGGCCTTTCTACCTTGTGCAGAAATATTTAGGAATTGTCATACTCGAGGGTATAGCTAATAAAGTTTTGGGTTTTTAAAAAAATTTTTTTTTATTTTTGGGGGGGTAATTAGGTTTATTTTTATTTAATTTTATTTGATAGAAGTACTGGGGGCTGAACCCAGGACCTCCTGCCTGCTAAGCACACACTCTACCACTGAGCTATACCCTCCCCCATAATGTTTATCTGCCCTCTAGTTCTTTTCGTTTGAGTTTCCTCACTTTCCCCAAAGATCTGTTCTTTCTCAGAATTTCTAACCTGATTGACCATGATCAATGTTTTGATCAATATTTTTTTTAGGGGCAGAACATTGGCAGTGCTATTTTTAAACTTGTTCTAATATAATTATCCATTGGTTATTGAAGTTGGAATTTTGTCCTCTAAATCTGAGATGGGAGGAGAATTTTCAGGTTAATGAGTTATAGGACTACACTGTAGCAAGATGAAAAATTTCTCAGAGAAGGCCCATAGTGGTATTTTAACTTCAAAAATTTCAAAAGTTTCTATTTGAGAAGATTGCAAAAGTCTGGAAAATAAACACTGATATTTCTTAGAGGCAAAATGGGAATGTTTTAGGATTCCTTTGAGTAGCAGGGCAGTTTAAAAATTATTCCACTTCCCACTATTTATGGTTGATTATTTGATTGCAGTGTATTTTTAGGTTTTGCAAGTTTTTGTTGAGGGATAGTTTAGCTTGCTTCTAAGAATGTAAGGAATGTGAAAACTATCTGACTGTGGCAGAAAGGTCAAGAAAAAGAAATGCTTACATAATTGGTGGTTTTATGTCTAAGTTTATTCCAAAGCAGACATAGGTTTTGTTTTCATTTCTTTGGTAAATTTTTATTTGTTCTGTTTAGGAGTCACAGGTAAAATCTGGCTGCTTTGGATTCAACATTATTCAAAACTTTTGAAGTATCCATCTTCGAGTGACAGATTCTGGGTAACATAGTTTTAGGAACTAAGTCTCTTTATGAGATATTTTATCCCAATGGTCTTGTGAGTGTTTAGGTATGTAAGATTATCTATCCTGGTTAGTACTAAGGATAATATGGTCATTTTCTAGATAGAGCAAGTTAAGCAGACCTACTTTTTAGCAGCTTAATTTAGTCATTGGGGAAGAATTACCTTACAACTGATTTTGAAGATCGATTTGAAAGCTTTGTAATCTCTCTAGACCCACGTTGAGGGAACATTTGAAACTGGGTGAATTACTTTTGTTCCTATTTATGAGAATGGAGAGAGGTAGACAGTATAATAGGATGCAAAAGGGGGGAACGTAGGAGAACAGAGATGACAGTTGAGGAAGAACAATTGAAAATGTTTAACCTTATCAGTCTCGCTAGGAATTTGGCTCAGACATAACATTACCTTGTTGAACTGGAACATCACCCGGTAGATCTGTGTCATCTCCAGGTCTGCATCCAGTACTGATGCATGCAAGATAAATAACATGCATGCAGAGCTGAACCTTGAACGCGGTGCTGCTGGAGCACTTCTTCACTCTGACCTTCAAAAATATCCTCACTGCAGTTATGATCCTTTGACCTCTTTTCCACTGGACAGTTCCCGGTATCTATTGATCATTTGGGTCATGTACCCAACCACATTCTCTCAAGAAACATCTCAGTGTTTATCCTGGGTCATTGACATCTTTAAAAAGACCTGAGCACAAAGTTCAGTAATACCAGAACAGTTTATTTAATGAGCATGATATTTAAATTTTTACATTTATAATGGATATATTATTTTGTAATATTAAACCAGGACTTTAAGTCCCATGTAAATTCTTTGTCCCAGGAAGCTTGGAATTATTGCCAAGACAATGAAATGACCAGATAATATTATCATTTTTAGTAAGAGGTCCAGTTCTGTAAACAAGTTCTAAAAGCTTGTTTTGCATGGAGAAAAATATCAAAAGCCGTGCTGATCCTGGAAACATTTCCTTTCAGATTACTTAAATCAAAGTCTGGAAGGAGATTTGGATGGGCCTAGAGCAAATTTATCGAAGGAGTTATGACTATTTGTATATAATGAGAAAGAGGGCTCATGGTAGTGACACTAAACGTCAGTCATATTTTTTTCTTTACTGTGGCTGTCTTAAGTCCATGAGTCAGGCTGCTTCCACCCTGGTGATCTGGAGTAACCGAGTTCTAAACTGGGAGATTTCCACAGACTTCCCAGAGACTCAACTCTTGCTGAGCTAGGGTGAGATTGTACTTGAGCTTGGCATCAGTAGGTAATCCAGAGGCTAGCACCTTTTAAAAGTCGTGTCCTTTGGTATATTGTGGTGGACTTTAAAATATAACTGTTGATTGAGTCTGCTTCTTCCATGCAGTATGAGTCCCTCTACAGAGCAGTAGTGCCCCCGTGCTGAGAAATCCAGACAGATCCTGATGGCGTCTTCTACTGTTTAGGAATTTGTTATAAATTCCTTCCCTGGGCATGTCCTTCTCGACCCCTCCCTAGCCAAAGTCTCAAATGCCAAGTCTTGTTGATTCTAGTACCATACATATTCAATATTGTCCATTTTTTCTCCATTTTTACTGGCATCTTTTGCCAAGTCATGATTATCTGAGTTAGTAATAATTGTGAAAGTCTTTTTAAGATGAACAGAAAAATTGGTGGGAGTCCTGTCAGCTCAGCCATCTGAGTTACCTACCTTCCATTATCTTTGAGCTACTGTACAACCCAGGGAGTTGTAGAAAACAGTAACGCGAATGATTCTTATCTATAAACATACCGAGTAGCTGGAATGTAATTGATTATCTTCCCTTGGATAGATTTGTTTTTGCATTTGCTGTAAATTTATTTCAGCTTTCCTTTTTTTGCATATAAACAGGTAGTTTTCTGAATTATTCTTTGTCCTTGTGGTAACATCTTACTGGGTTCCCTCACTAATTACTGAGTTAAAGTCTTAAATGTGCTTTAATGTTACATTCATATGAGAGTCATGGCTTTACCATTTTGGAAAGTTATCCCTAAACATGTGGACCATTGTATAATCTATAAGGTTCTTCCTTCCCACGATCCACCTTATGCATCTCCTTCCTTCCATTTTCTACAGAGTAGCTGGAGTTAAAGTGTCAGCGTCAATACCCCTTTCTCTTCAGTAAAATCTTTCAGTGGCTGCCCTTTGTTCTTACTTGGCTTTCGGGACTGTAAATAGTTGGCCCCTCCCATCTCCTCCTAATTTCAGTTTACTTTACTCTGGCTCCTCAGTATACCCTCACCACCGCAGTGGCCCTCCCCATGGCTTTTACACATGCTCCCTCCTCCGTCTTTTCCTGGCCAACTCCTGCTTCTCCTTCTTGCCTGAGCTTAAATGTCACTTGTCCAAGGACACCTTTTCTGAGCTCCCAGACTAAGATAGATAAGCTCCATATTCTGAAAGTGTTAGCCTTTGAAGGACTTATCGTAATTGTACTTTAAATAATTGCATCTCAAAATATTTGTCTCTCCTCTCCTAGACAGTGGTCTGTTCCATGGATGGAGGGATTGTCTATTTTGCTCACTGGCACAACTTCTGGCATTTAGTAAGCACCCAGTGAGTATTTATAGGCTTAATAAATAAACGAATGACAGTGACAGAAACATATACTTACATGCCTAACAGTATATAATCTTAAACCAGCTGGAGGTGGTTGTATTGGAAAGAGACAGAAGCAGAGTGTGGGATTGAGCGCAGAATGGCATCAATTGTGTTACTTCATGGATATGAGGGCATCAGGGCTTTTGCCACATTTATTCACAAAAACAAATCCAGCTGTGCAGAGTTTCCACTTTTACCTGGTTTCTTGGAATTGAGCTGGAAAGATTGTTAAATCGCCATTTGAACATAATACATATGATTCTCTTATTTACTGGATAGGATTCTTCAAAGAGGATCCACCTACTAAATTCACAGTGATGAAAAATGAGATGTAAAACAGTATCAGCTCAATTCATTTCTTGGTCAGGGATTTGGTAAAGAGCTTGAGAATATTGAATAATATGGGTTGAAACCATCTTTTGAGAGCTAAGAAAGCATTCACTATAAATACATACTGGTTTTGCTGCAGGTCCTCAGTGCTTTGGAGTTTGGGTTTCCTGAGCAGTCACACAGTGTAGAATAACTTACGAATGCTGAATTTTGAAAAGTTATGAAGAGCTCAGAGGAAAATGATTATCTAAAGAAGCTAAGAGTTAGAAAATTAAACACTTACCCTTGGATATGCTGCTCATTTATTTATGACCTGGGGCAAATTACTAGCCAATTTTTTCAGGTCACTTGGTTTTTATTTCTTTAGCTATAAACCACACTTAAGCATAATTACTTGCCTTATATTGCTAAGAAATATTGAGGGATTATTGTGAAACATAATAGGAGATTACAATTACTTGGG